GGGGTTGCTGTTCCAGATGGCAGGAGCTGTAGAGAAGAAAGCTCTTGCACCCATGTTGGAGAGATGCTCAGTGCTGACTGGACAAGGAGTAGGAGGATGTGCTCCGAGGAGAGCACAGAGGATATCATGGTCTTGATACGACTGTGATGGTGTGTATCATCTAGTACTGAACTAGGTGGATGGTACTGAGCCAGCTTGTGGTGTTTCTGGATGAAAACTTTCTCCTTTTACAATAGTAGAGAAACTCCTGCTGGTTCCCAGAACAAGATCCCTGACCAAGCTATAGCTTGCAGTTAGGACCCAACCGCTGAACATCTCCTCAGTATCCCGTGGGTCTGAGTGAGTTGCTGTGTGGCTCAGCTGCCACCCAGTCAGGGCCAAGACAGCTGACCAGAACATTAACAGGGTTTTTTTTTGTTTTGTTTTGTTTTTTATTCCTTTCCTTTCACAGTGAACTCCTATGGTCAGCCCCAGCCTCCCCATCTCTTCTCCGGGCCATCTCCTATGTACCAGATTTCCACCCAGGACTCTCCAGGGTATAATCGCCCAGGTAAGGGGTGACATTAAGGCATATTATGTCAAGGAACATTAAAGAACTGGTTCCCGAGCCCTGTGTGCATTCCTCCCAAAGCACCTACTAATCAAATGGAGCACTGAGAGTAGAGAGGGAGCCTGGAGTGCAAGGGACCCTCCGTTTAGGGCTCTGCCGTAGCTCTGGCAAGGTTTAGGATTTCAGTGGCCTGATTTCGTTCACTTCACATGAATAGTCTTCTAGCTCAGCCTCACCGTCGGTTGTTTGAAGGCAACTTTCCGTGAGGAGCTTCTGTTGATGTAGTCGTTTTCCGCGCTGTCGGCAGTCAGCCGTAAGGAAAGTTAAGGAGGCTGGAACTTAACCTCTGCAGAAGCTGCTGTGTGGGATTTCACAGCAGACGTTGGTAGGTGCTGTCCGACAGGGAGAACGTCAAGCCAGTAGTGTTCTCGCTTGTCCCACTGTTGGAAAGGAGAAGGCCCGAACCCCTTATGCCTCTTTTTGCCCGAGGGCCCGCTGTGGAAAAGCATGAGGTGTTTTGTTCTAACCGTTCTCTTCCCTTTCTCTTTTTTTCTTGTTCTCGGCTCAGCTCACCACCTGGTCCCTCGGCCTCCAGGGCCTCCTCCAGGCGCCAACGAGGAAATCCCCGATGATTTCGACTGGGACTTGATCACTTAGCGAGTAACAGACTCGACAGCC